AGGGCAGACTCACCAGCACCTGAGAGCACAGACGCACTGGCACCTAGAGCAGCAGCCTCACTAGTACCTGACGCGGCAGTACCAATGCCCGGGTCGGGCGGGAAACACCGGTAACAGTCATCCTCATCACTACCATTCGCAGTATACATAGCAGAGAGAATAGCATCAAAATCAAGATCATAAATAGCTACACCAGCCCTAGACAGCTCTCCCCAGCGGGGGATCTCAGCTGCCTCCGGAAACTGCTGACGCCAGGCGTCAGTCAGGCGGCCAAAGCAGCGGCGGGCAGTGTGGGCGCCTCCACACCTCTCCCCTGCACGGTCACCGGTGCGGAGAACGTAGGGGCAAGGACCAAGCGCACCACCACGCTGACGCTGCGAGTACCACTCACGGAGCTGCTGAGGGGCGGGGACGGTGCGAGAGCGCTGCTGCTGCTGTGGCTGCTGCTGCGGCTGCTGCTGCTGCTGCTGCTGGCGCTGACCACCCCCGGAGCTGCTCCGCTGGGACGAGCCACTCCGACCCCCGCCTCCACTGCCACCCCCGCCTCCACCGCCACCCCCGTCTCCACCTCCACCTCCCCCACCAGGACCGTCGCTCCCACCGCTCCCACCGCCTCCTCCGCTACCACCTCCGCCGCCACCTCCGCCTCCACCGCCGCCACCAGTACCTCCACTCCCGCCACCACCCCCACCGCCACCCCCACTCCCCCCGCCACCCCCACCGCCTCCTCCACCGCCCCCTCGAGCTCCACCCGCTCCCTTGCCCCCCTTGCTCTTGCCAGAGCGGCGTCTGCCGCTGGGGGCAGACGCCGCGCCGACCGACTCAAAACCAGTGAGGTCGGCCGCAGCGGCAGAGGCGACAGAGGGCAGCAGGGGGGAAGGACCACACCCCTCAAAGATGGGGGTGCGAGGGTCACCCCGAGAGGCCCCTACAGCGACAATACTCTTCTCAGCCGCTAGCAGGGACTCCTCAAGGAGGTCGACAGTGAGAGTGGTGGGACAGACAGAGAGAAACTGGTCCCTAACGACACGAAGGGACTCAGGGAGACGGGTGACGAGAAAGTAGAGGGTGATGTACATGGGAGGAGGGTTCGCAGCGCGGAACTCAGCAGGAAGGGCAGCGCGGTAGCGGGTGTCACTAGCACGGAGGTGGGTAACGAGGTCAGCGACAGTGGGAAAGGAAGCGAGGTCAGGGAAGAGAAACGGTAGCATGAGGCGGCTAAGGGTAGCGGAGGAAGGGGAGGAGTAGCGTGCAACTACAGCGTCGTACAAGGCCTGAGCGGTCTTGCACTGACTAAAGTGGGCACGCTCAGAGGAAGGGAGGTGGCGACGCACAGCAAGACGTGCAGCAGCATCGCGGGTCGCCCACTTGGAGCGAACGGCAGAGTCAGCATCAGCAGGTGGGGCAGGGACAGCGCCAGAGACAAAGTCAAAGAGAGAGACCTCATCTATCGCATCACACAGTAAGTACAGCTGCAGGTCTTCAATCCAGACGGCAAAGTCAATGGCCCTCCCCTCAGCGTCAAAGGTAAGAACATTGGGGGTGGCCATGACAGCAGCTGAAAATCTCACCGGGCTGGGAGAGGCGGGTAGGTCAGCAGCAGAGGAACAGCAGCACGGCTCCGCAGGCGGCTCGGGCGGCGCGGGCGGCTCGGGCGGCACGGGCGGCTCGGCGGCGGCTCGGGCGGCGGCTCGGTGGCGGCTCGGCGGCGACTCGGCGGCGGCTCGGCGGCGGCTCAGGCGGCGGCGGCTCGGCGGCGGCTCGGCTGCTGCTGGGCGGCGCGGGCGGCTCGGGCGTCACGGGCGGCTCGGCGGCGGCTCGGGCGGCACGGGCGGCTCGGCGGCGGCTCGGGCGGCGGCTCGGCGGCGGCTCGGCGGCAGCTCGGCGGCGGCTCGGCGGCGGCTCGGCGGCGGCTCGGCGGCGGCTCGGCGGTGGCTCAGGCGGCGGCGGCTGCTGCTGGGCGGATCGGCGGGGCCGCGTAGCAGAGTGGCGGCGGGGCCGCGACCGAAGAGAGCGGCGGGGCCGCGTAGCAGAGGGCGGCGGGGCCGCGTAGCAGAGGGCGGCGGGGCCGCTACCGAAGAGAGCGGCGGGGCCGCGTAGCAGGGGGCGGCGGGGCCGCGTAGCAGAGGGCGGGGGGGCCGCGTAGCAGAGGGCGGCGGGGCCGCGATCGAAGGGCGGCGGGGCCGCGTAGCAGAGAGCGGCGGGGCCGCGTAGCAGAGGGCGGCGGGGCCGCGTGGCAAAGAGCGGCGGGGCCGCGATCGAAGGGCGGCGGGGCCGCGTAGCAGAGGGCGGCGGGGCCGCGTAGCCGAGGGCGGCGGGGCCGCGTAGCAGAGGGCGGCGGGGCCGCGAGGCAGAGGGCGGCGGGGCCGCGTAGCCGAGGGCGGCGGGGCCGCGATCGAAGGGCGGCGGGGCCGCTAGGGAAGGGCGGCGGAGCCGCGAGGGGAAGGGCGGCGCAACGGTCCGCTAGGGGCGACACGACGGGTCGCTAAAAAAAAAACGCGCCTCGGGGCGCGGTTCGGTGGGCCCTAGAAGCAGTCCCTAGGAGGGAACCTGCTCTGATTCCATGTGGAAACAAAGAACGAGAATGAAATGACTATGAACGAAGTGAGTACAAATAGGAAACCCTAATTGGGTTGTACCCCCTATGGGATACCCCACTATAGCCTACAGAAACAAGTAAGCTATATGTTCTGACAATGCGCAGCTGTGGTGTTTCAAGTTTTTCCGACTACACGAGTTATTTTAAGTGCACCTACTGATTTGAATTGCTTAGATAGGTTCTTCTAGGTAGCTTGTTTACAAAATAGCAAGCATTAGTAGCTATGCATTGTTATGTTTAAAAGTTGATCTATAATGTTGGATACTAGATTTGAATATTCTGACAGGTGCAAATAACACCTCGAATACAGCTATTATTTAGTAACAGCCTAACCATACCAGGTTACAGATTGTGCAACCATCTAATCAATGCACAGTGCTGCGTACCGCTGGAGCTCAATTGGCCAATCACAGCTCATTATTCTCACTGGTAACTTTTGTGAGAAAGGTTACTGTTACATTTGTCTGGTTACCGATCATTCAAACTGGCCAATGAGGGCGGATTCTTGCACATCAAGGATTCTACGAGGAGTCAACAAACTAAGGGCGCGTAACCATTTTGATTTTTTTTATTTTGACGTATCGTCCGATTATATGGAATCGGACGGTACGTTTATAACGAAACGGACTGTCCGATTTGAATGTTTGCAACTTCGGACGGTACGAATGCAGATGTGACACTTTTTCCACATGCTAGGGTTCCGCGATGGTTTTCCCTTCGCCATTTCAAATGTACACCAGTAACGCCAGTCACAACCCATCGCAATTTTCGCCTGTTGAGTTCAGCGCTTCGGACAAACACAGGAAATGTCAAACAAGCACAAAGGCCGTCCAAATCAAGCCCATTCAATGTCAGAAGGACCAGGTATCTGGGACTCTTGTGTTTCGGGAATAGCTGTGGCAGGAGTGGTAGTATTGGTAGAGCCCGGTGGCGGGGAGTTGGGAGTGGTGTTGTCAGACTGGGTGTTCTGGGCATAGCTAGAGGGATCTATTGTGCAGAGAAGTGAGTAGTGGGTCAATGTCGTGGCTTCTTGTATTGTAGTATGGCTAGTTGTGATTGGTCAATGTCAATCTTTGCATCCGAGTCGCATTTTTTCATGTTTTGGCGAGGCGGTCCGCTGAAATCCAATTTCGCCCGCCAATCGCGTGCGCGGACAGGCGGACAGTCCGTTTGTGATTCGGACCGTCCGTTGTCAGAGTTTCGTGTCGTTGGAAAGCGGAAAAAGTGTCATGACAGTTCGAATTTGTAGCTACGTCGCAAACGTCCTCGCGAAGAACTGAACGACATTAAACGATAATGGTAACCCTTCGCATCGACGTACGGTCCACGGTTCGTTCCGTCGGGTGCAAAATGGTTATGCGTCCTAACCCTGCAGAAACCTCAAGAAATGCACGGAAACAATCTGCAAACAGTTCGCAAACATACCCACCCCTTTTCAAAACATTCCATAGTGTTCGAAGTGTGTCCCCTAGATGTAGATCGAAGACTGTTAGTGGATTCAACGAACAAAGTTTTTGGCCAAAATATTTTGTTGAGTAGGTCAGCTCAGCATGCTGTGCTGGGGTGACCACTCCAGCAGGGCTTCGCAGTGTACGAACATCATACACCCTCTTTCTCGCCATTGTGAGTTCGGTTATAGTGAAGTCAAGATGGGAAAAGCACGGTTAACGGTGGTTAGATTAAGTCTAGGTATGGTTCAATCAGACAGATCGAAGGTAACTAGGTTTTCCATCAGTTCAGCACAGTTCAGTGTAGTGAGAAAGAGGGTGTATCTATGGTATTCCTATCATTACTACATCACGGAACCTGCATGCGGCATGAACGATGCCTGCGATTTCCCCACATGTACGCCGCATAACCAGATTCTGAGAGTCGACACAGTTCTCACGGTTTTCAGCAGCGTGATTGGTGCAAGTAGCAACCAGCTTATGACGCTAGCGGGCCAAGTTTCCGTTCAGGCGTTAACGATGCCGCCAACCACGCGCACTCGCGCCTACGCGGAAACTTGCGCATTTGCAAGTTTTCTGAAGGCCAGTCGGTCCCACGCCGCGTCGCGAGAGTGCTTCTCCTCCTCCCCTCGCCAAACCCTGTTACTTACGTCATCATGATGCAGTTAGTACTACTACTAGTGAGTGGAAAAGTCGCAGCGTTTTCTCTCTTGACAACCTTCTCCAGATTTAATATCGTACCATTACACGTGGTAGTAAACAGGCTGATGCATAACTTTGGGACGGAATTCGTCTTCTTCTACTCCTCTCTAAAATCATCTCCGTTTCGACAATTCCTTCCAGGGAGTTCTTTTCTGCTCTTCGTTCCATTTCGAAGCCTCTGAAGAATTGATTGCGTCCAGGGAGTGCCCTTCTGCTCTTCAGTCCGTTACCTGGGTGTGACTTTCATCCTCATGATGGATTGCTTGGACGTGACTCTAACGGGGGAACCGTGTTTCGACGCGACTCTAACGGGAGCGGCACCATCATGCTTCGTCGCGCTCCATACGGGGGAGCTCCCAGCCGTGCCGGCGGATTGGAGCAGCATCGGCAGGGAGGAGCTCCGCCCGATCCAAGAAGCTCTGCAGCGCGCCGAGCAGCCCGGGCCCGGAAATTCCGAGCCAGATTCAATAGCCGAGAAGCAAGGACCGCGCGAGTTCGACCCAGATTCAAGCGCGGAGCACGCAGGGATGGTGCCAATGGAGGGTGAGGGAGAGAGCACGGATGGAGTATTAGCACCCTCAGCATGGCTTCTGAGGCAGGATGGAAGTGGGGCTCTGGGAAACCTATCTCCTCCCAACCCCCTGCTGACTCAGACTCCAAATGAGACTCATTGTTCCCTTCCCGTGCTTCCTGTGCCGCCTAATCAGCAGCTGCCAACTCAGCCGTCTTCAGAGCTCGGCACCTCTCCTCCTCCACCTCGCTCCTTCCCCTCGGCGTCCCTTCCCCTCGCCCTCAACCGCTCATCAACCTTTGGAGCCCACAGATTTCCAAGTTTGGTACCAACGTTCGGCACAAAACGAAGGCTTTTAGCCGCTCAGATTTATGAACTCTCTGAAGTGGACGCTTTTCATGCGAGGAAGCAGTTACATGGTAACCCTGTTGATGTTGACGATACGGGTCTCCCTCTTGCCGCACCTGCTGCTGTTGCGACTGCTGCTGCCATTGAACGGTGCGTTGCTGCTGGTGTCTTCTCTCGGAGCAGCGGTAGCAGCAGCCTCGCTTCCGACGAGAGAAGGCGGGGCAGTATCGCCAAGCACAATGCGGAATGGAATGCAGCAGCAGCCCTTCCTGCTATGGCCGCTCCCACTCCTGCAACACTCGTGGCACCAAGCATCGCACCTGCTCCAGTTCCTTCCTTCTGGACTGCTGCTGCAAGTGCTGGTGCGACTTTTCCTGCGACTGCTGCTGCGACTTCCCCTGCAACGGCTGCTGCAACAACCACGTCCCCAAGAGACTCTGGCGTGTGCCGCACACGTCCAGGCGTGAGCCCCACACACTCTGGCCTGAGTCCCACACACTCTGGCGTGTGTCCCCCACGTGCTGGCGTGTGCCTGCCACAACAGCACCCGTTGGACCGGCTTGCTGATGCTCTCGTGAAGCCTCTTCCACCACATCCCTTTGAAATGGCGCGTGGGGTGGGGCTTGATGGATGCATGGACGCTTTTCCTCCGGCCGCTGCTGCTATTGATGGTGGTGTTGGTGGTGGTGGTGCTGCTGCTGGCCGTCCTGCTGCTGGCCGTGCTGCTGCTGGTGCTGTTGTTGTTGTTGCTGCTGCTGCTCCAGCTGCTCCTGCCATGCCAGTCTCGTCCCTTGCACACCAGCGGAGGCAGACAGCTATTAGCTGTCTGTTGAGGCGACTCCAAGCACAAGCACCTGACAGCACTCCACTCCACCACTCCGTCTTGCCAGAGCAGCGTTTTGAACCGTCTCAAGGGCTGTCACCATTGCTGCGTTCTCCAAAACCAAATCCGCTAGAGCAGCCAGCAGTGCAACCAGATCTCTCCCAAGCACATGCGCACGAATCCTTCTCTCCCAACACCTCGGTACCGCAGCCGCACGCACAGCACCCCTTCACACCGCACTCGCCGCAAGTGCAGGGAGCAGCAGTGCGTGGTTCTGTGTCAGCCCGGGAGTCAACCCCAGGAGCAAGCATGGGCTTTAAGTCGCCGTCTGCAACCCCGTCTCCCTTGTCCCAGTCCCCGAGAGGAAGGGTGGGAGGCGTGCGGACAGGAGGGAGGCAAATCACGGGGAAGAGCGCTACGGAGAAGCATAGGCGGTCCAGAATAATGTGAGTGGCAGAATAACCCTGAGGTCTGGTCCGGTCCGGTGTGCAACTGCATTGCTTGCATGTAGTTTGCCGGATTAATTGCTATGTGCACTGCACTGCACTGCACTACACACTACGCAGGCTCATCCAGCTTGTGTCTCCTTCCCTTCCTCCCTCTTCCTCCTCCCACGTGTGTCTCACAGTGAGCGATTGGAGGCCCTCAAGGCAGCAATACCAGCGGAGGTGCTGCTGAGGCAGCAGGGCCGGGCGGGGTTCAGCAATCGCACACAGATAGCCACTCTTTTAGATGCGGCCGTGGGGTTCATTGAGGGCATGCGCGAGTACAAGCTGGCACTGGAGCGACAACTGCGGGCATCGTAACAGTGCATCTCATAATCTGCAACGCTTACGCATGAAGATTCCACAATTCTGCGGCAGCAGCAGCCAATCGCACACAGATAGCCACTCTGCTGGATGCTGCTGTGGGATTCATCGAGGGAATTCGCAAGTCTGGAGCTGGTGAGGCAGCTGCTGACCTCATGACATTGCTTCTGGTCTGAGCAAACTGCCTTAGATTCTCAAGGACCAGGTCCGAAGAGGCAGGACGGTTGAAGAGGCAGGACGTTTGAAAAGGCAGGACGGTTGAAGCGGGCTTCAGCTGCGCTGGGCCAGTCGCATGCAGAGAGCCAACCTCTTCTGGATGTTGCGATGGGGTTCATTGAGGGAATGCGCGAGTGCAAGCTGGAGCTGGAGATGCAGCTTCGGGCTTTGTGGCGGTGCTTCTGGGGTAGCCGCATATGTGATACTTCTTACCTGAGTTCGTCCAGGCCCATATGTCCAATATGGTACAATCTTTAAGGCTCGCGCTGAGCCTCAGCCCGTCACGACCCAGGTCTTGAGCTTTAAGCTACTTGAAGAGCGCATTCCGTCCAGTTTTGAAACATTAATCATGTGGAGGGATTTCTAAGTTTTGGATTCAATTGTTGGTGCATTCACTCGCGAGGCCTGCTGCGTGGTTAGCAATTCCGAGCAGCCCACCTACAGACAGACAAATGTAGACCCTCTTGAAGGGCCGAAGTGTCAGAATGTATATGACAAGAGGCTTTACACACGAGCTGAATGCTTGTGCATGAGCAGGATTTAGCTCTGCATGCATGCAGCCATTCTGCTGGATGCTTTTATTGTCTGCATGCATCATTGTATGATGCTGGGAAATTTATGAATATATATCCATGTGGTCTATCTGTTTGTTTTACATTTCTGCATGTACAATGATCCGAAGTGACACACTATAAACCCATTCACTAACTTTCGGCCATATGGTTCACCATCGCCTCTCGTCTTGTGTATACGTATACATGTGTCTCAATAACGGGCGTTTCGGTTATATCTGCCCGTTATTGTTTGTGCGTCCCCTTATCCCCAAGAGATGGGCGAATAGAGTGCACAAATCGTGTGATGCTTTTATCATCGAACCTTGATAAGGTGTAAATCGCTTATCAAGAACCCTTTACCCACCCGTCACGCACTGCTTGTGCCAACAGAACGTAGCCTTCGATACTGCCGGAGGCACGGTTTCCAAGGGTTGTTCCGCCTTGATGCCACAACGCCACAGCACCCCTAGCCAGATTACCCTACTTGATCTTAGGTGTCAAATCGCGCCTTCTCGCCTTAACCCGCTATACCGGAGCGCAAGTAGTTATCTCAGACACCATACCACCTTACCGGAGTGCAAAAGACTGTTGAATCTATATTCATGCTAGAATAGAAGTGTAGTATCATTCTTTGTTGGTGGTGTACCCCATTTTCCCACCTTCCCTTACATCTACCGTATTCTCCCGGACATAACACCCTAGGGTATAGCTAAAAATACAGGGAAAAAATGGGGGGGGTCTCCTCATAGGAAAAAAACACATAATACCCGGGTCTTTACATATGGCATATTTTAGTATTAGTGTTTTTTTAATTAGTCAATGTGGGTGTTTTGCTGGTCGTTTTAGCATCACTGCCTGAGGCGCGAATGTGAGTTTCGGCCTCGAACTTCATCGCCCCCACGAAAATGGCATGTGGCACCTCTCTTGCCACTTGCAACGAAAGATTCACCTGCACGTGGCGACAGAGAAATAGTGGGAGGGGCAAATCTCGGCAGATTGCCTTTGAATGTACCGCGAAATTTCATCGAGGGAGAAATTCACACGATATTCTTCCGTATTGCAGCTACTCGTTAACGACTATAATAATGAATCCGTAAGAAAAGGGGGGTGTTATAGAAAATCAGCCAAAAAGGGGGGTATAGTAGAAACGAGGTCTATCATAACACCCACCCCGCACAAGCTACCCGGGGGTGTACAATTATGGGGGGGTGTTTTGTCCAGGAGTATACGGTATATCTTGTATTGTTGTTGTTAGTGAAACCTCTTGTCAAATGTTGTAGCCTGTAGTGAGGTTTGTCTTAGGGGGTACAGAAGTTAGGGTTTGTCATATGTACCCCAACCAACATCAATGCAACACTCATTCCTCATTCTGACATGGTATCAGCTAGGTTAGGATCCTGTGGGATCCCGTTCCTCCGTTCTCCGTTCGTACCTCCCGAGCCTGATCCTACCTCTCGTTCGTACCAGTTTCGTAGTTACCGCGCCTAGTACCGAGCCTAGCGTCATCTCCCCCGTCGCGTCACGCCTGTTCCCCCCCCGTCGCGTCACGCCCGTTCCCCCCTGTCACGTCGCGCCCGTTCCCCCCGTCGCGTCGCGCCCGTTCCCCCCGTCGCGTCGCGCCCGTTCCCCCTGTCGCGTCGCGCCCGTTCCCCCCCGTCGCGTCGCGCCCGTTCCCCCCCGTCGCGTCGCGCCTGCCTGTTACCCCCCCCCGTCCCGTCGCCCTGTCCCGTCGCGTCGCCCTGTCCCGTCGCCCTGTCCCGTCGCCCTGTCCCGTCGCGTCGCCCTGTCCTGTCGCGTCGCCCTGCCCTGTCCCGTCGCGTCGCCCTGCCCTGTCCCGTCGCCCTGTCCCGTCGCGTCGCCCTACCCCGTCGCGTCGCCCTGCCCTGTCCCGTCGCCCTGCTCCGTCGCGCCGCCCTGCCCCGTCGCGTCGCCCTGTCCCGTCGCGTCGCCCTGCCCCGTCGCGTCGCCCTCCCCCGTCGCGTCGCCCTCCCTAGGCCCTGGCCTGTCGCCCTTCCTAGGCCCTGGCCCGTCGCCCTACCCTAGGCCCTGGCCCGTTGCCCTACCCTACGTCTTGGCCCGTCGTCCTAGCCCACTCTTCCGCTGCGACTGAGTCCTCTTCCCCCCCCGGTTGTTACTCGCCTGTTCGTTCTCACTATGGCGACTCCGCGAGTTCTTCGTTTCGACGCCGACGGTAGACCCCTTGACTTTTCCGTCTGGCTTCTTCGCGCTCGTCGTCTGTTAGAGAGTCAGGTCCAGGGGGGCGAGACCCTCTGGTCACACGCTACTGGTGACCTCCCCGAGCCCCCCGAGCCTACAGCTTTAGGCCCTGCTCCTGACGATGCTGCTACGGCTCGCTTTGCCCGTCAGCGCGCTGACCGGACGGCTTGGACGTCGCGTGACGCTGCGGCCTGCATCGCACTCAGCAGCCTCCTCCCTGAGTCCGAGGAGGTCCACTTTACTCAGGTTCGCACCGCTGCTGCGTACCTCACTGCGATTAAGGCCCGCTACTCTACTCCCGCTACTGTCTCTCTCGGCCGTCTTTTCCTCCCGTTCCTGTTTCCTGATCTTGCCTCGTTTGAGCGCTCTGCTGACTTGATCGCTCACCTCCGCTCGCTTGACGCTAGTTACCGCGCTGCTTGCACTGAGGCACAGCTTGCACTGCTTCCTCCCCCCATGGCGATTACTGTCTATTTCATCGCCACTAGCCTCCCTGACCGCCTTGCCTCCGTTCGTGACGCGCTTCTGCTGAAGCACCCTAGTGAGCTGACTATCGAGGTCCTTGAGTCTGCACTCAAGGATGTCGAGAGCAACCTTCGTTCGGTAGCTGCCGCCTCTGGTACTGTATCCCCCCCACTCTTCCACGGGTGCACAGTCCCGCAGTTACCCACCTTCACTGCCTCTCTTGCCACTGCCGCTACTGACGCGACTGCGGCTGCTGTTACGACTGCGTCGCGGTCCCGCGGCAGGGGGGGCAAGAAAGGTGGTTCCGGTGGAGGTGGAGGCGGAGGTAGCGGAGGTAGTGGGGGTGCTGTTGCGACTGGCGGTGGTGGGAGTGCAGCGTCTGGAGAGACCCCTCGTGCAGCGGCCGGTGACTCCACTGCACCTGCTGGTGGCAGCGACCCTCGAGCTCGTCAGTCGCCTCCTGTACTGTCGGCCCCGCTAGGTGGAGCAGCGGCGTGGTACCAGGCTCAGCGTCAGCAGCACCTTCAGCAGCAGCAGCAGCCCCTTTCCTCCCAGCAGCCTCAGCAGCAGCAGCGTCAGCAGCTGGCTCCGGGGTCGGGGCTGCGTCAGCCCCAGCGCGGTGCTGCTTACCCTCCCTGCCCCTACCAGGTTCAGACAGGTCCTCGTCGGGGCCACCCTTGTGGCCGCTTTCACCCCCCTGGTCAGTGCTTTGCTCAGCTCACTGACACGGTCCGGTTGACCTACGGGGTTGGCGGTCCTGCTCCTGACTGGCTTCCTCTGGTTCAGCGCTACGGCTCCGCTCTGTGGGGCATGTCTGCTGAGCAGTTAGTTGATCTGATTAGTGCTCCTCATGCTATGTATGCTGTTGTTGACTCTAGTGTTTCTGACTCTGTTTACTCTGGTGTTGTTAGCTTAGGTGCTAGTCTTGCTGAGTTGCCTGTTGCTAGTGTAGGTACTTGTGTAGACTCTAGACCAGCGACTACCTCAGAGGACGCTTCGCTGTCGTTCACACTGGACTCTGGAGCCTCCCACTGCTTCTTTCGGGACAGCACGACACTTACACCACTTCCTGCGCCTGTTTCTGTAGCGTTGGCTGATCCCACTACGGGACCAGTCACTGCACGTCACACTACCACTTTACCGTGTCCTGCTGCTCCCTCCGGGTCTCTCACTGGGTTTCACGTCCCCTCGTTCTCCCGGAACTTGGTGGGCGTGCGACCCCTCGTGAGCCAGCACGTGGGTGTGTGGTTTGAGCCTTCTGGAGAGACTGCGGTGTGTGTTGACGGAGACTCTTACCAGCCTCTTGCTACCTTTACTACTGAGCCGGGCTCGGGTCTCTACACTCTTCACACTGGCCCGCGTGCGCCGCAGCAGCAGCCGCAGCAGCAGCAGCAGCCGCAGCCGCAGCAGCAGCAGCAGCAGCAGCACCAGCGGCCGCACCAGCAGCCCCCCCTACTGCCACTGCCCCCGGTTCCCCCCCCCCGTTCGGGTCCCCGCGTCTCACCAGGTTGCTACGTCCCCCCAGGTGTCTGTGTCGTGTCAGGT